ACTGATACTTATTTCCTGCTCTTCAGCTTTGGGGTGAAAGAGCACCAAGTCCGTTATGACTATTGCGTGTATCTAAAAACCCACATCCCAATCGCTCTCCGAGGTCAGCAAGAGATGGTAGTTAACGCCATCGCTGACTCCGCAAGGCCACCCTGGGATCTCACAGTTGAGCAGGTTCTTCCTGCCCCTGCGTAAGAAACAGCTGCAGGTCAGAGTCCCCTCTCAATTATTCAAACGGACCAGGCTCTGCAGCGATCCCCAAGGACAGCAGAGCGATTGCCACCTGCTCTTGTGCTGGCAGTGCACAAACCAGAATAAAACCCAGTGACTCGTCCCAGGTCCTAGCAGACTCGGAGAGGTTAACTGCACAAGGCCATGTCAAAACAGCACCACTACAGCTCATCCTGATACGCAGCAGGGGATGTCTGCTGATAAAAGTGAAGCAAGAAGTTGGGCGGGGGGGGTGGAACATCATCAAACATTTTAACTGCTGCACGTTAGGGCTTCCAGTGCACAGTTCAAACTACAGCAAAGTCGCTTTGACTCAAGTGGGTTGTTTTGCTCTAATGCAATCTGTGAGGTCAGATCTTTTCACAAAAACTTCCCAGATAACCATTAAAAAGAAGCCCTCAAAATTAATCATTTTGATTGTTCCCAATGGAAGAGAGGTCCATTCAGTCAAGGGGCCTGTCAGTAACCCTTTTCTTCCTTCCTTTCCCCAGCAAGTTTTGGGTATGTTTTATAATTTGTCTGAGGTTGTCTACAGGGGCAGAGGTCTCCCCAGATATTAATTCCCCATAATATTCCATGGGAGAGGCGATTAGGTTAACAGAAATTCAAATTAGCATGTTAAAATAGAGGAGTCAGGCCTCAACTACAACACTGCATAAACAGAAGAGACAGAGCAAGCCTGGCTTTTAAAATTTAAATTTTAAATACTATCATTTCCCTTCATATTAAACATGCAATGCAGATGCTATTCTTGGGTACCACCTTTCTTCCTCTCCGGGATAAACCCCCACTTCACCAGGGCAGAATTCCCAAGGACAGGTCATGTACTGCAGCAGACCAATGACACAGGTGGAAAAGGAGGGACCGTCTTTTGGGCTTCCACTCCCAAAGGACACCTTTGCCACAACAAGGCGCATCGTGGTCGCATGGCATCGTCCAAATTGCACCAAAGGTTTCCTAGCTCTGTCTATAGTTGCAGATCGAAAACCATTTTTGTGCCTCCATCATCTCTTTTCTTGGTTTAAAATCTGACACGCTTTGAGGACAAGGGAAGACTAGATCTCACGATAAGTATTTTACAATATAGCAACTGCCAGTGACCAGGCCCAGCAGGAGAAGCCAGCTTAGATTTGAATACCTTTTTTAAACCACCACCAAAGAATTTCTGAATCCAAAATTAATGATGACTTTAACATCATGGTCCACTTTTTTTACCCCCTCCGGTTTACAAGCTTCTCTATCATTAGGGGAAAAAACCAACAAATTTTCCCCTAAATAAGGGAACATTTTAGTAGTACAACATATATCATAAGCCTTATGTTTCTGCAGCCATAAATGCCAGGCAATTGGGCCTCATTTTCTCCATAAACCTATCCCTTAAGTTAAATGGTGTGCAGTGGTCACTTCTCTTCCCTGGCTACTGCCACCTCAGGGAATCACAAAGCATGAAGGTGCCACTATTCCACTAGAAACCCCTGGGTTTGCCTCACTTTGCACACTTGAATTGGTCCGCTGCACTCAGGCTTGCCCTGGTCCCTGAGCACACATAAGTCACCGCGGTAAGCACCAGTAAATGAAAGTTTAACATCTGCATGATGCAGAGTTCAAAAGGCAAATGAACTCAGGGGGAAGGGGACTGCAAGCAGCTAAGAAATGTGGTTTATGGTACACAACCCCTCTGCAAATACAGCATTTTAGTAATCCGTGGAGAAGGGCAGCTTTTAAAACAGTTGCCAGAGAAAGCTGAGGCACCCTTATTTTAAGTATCCTATTTTAAGGGCGCTCTGAGTCTCTTCTCCAGTCCCTGACGTGACAGGCAATGTGGGACCTGCTGTCCCAAGCACACCGACCAGCACAGCTATGCAGAAGATGTGCTGAAAACCCAGAAGGAACACTATGCCCTCCCCATCCCCACTGCCCTGCAGGGCACTGCCAGGAATCCCCAAAGCAATGAAGCTCCAATAACACAAACGGATGTGAAGGCACATCCATGACTGAAAAGGTCGAAGCACAGTTGTCCCTTGCACAGTAAGAGGGGAAGATCCAGCACTCTTGGTACCCCTTTTGCCCTACTTAATCTTCCTTACGAGCATCACGCTGTTTGCAGACCCTCTGAGCATCCAGCCCAGCATCACTACACCAAGAGCAAGGAAGCCTCCTTCCTAGCTCAGCAATCTGCAGGAGGATCTCTGACACAACCCAGGAAAACTGCAGACAAATCAAAGCAGAATACCCAAGAGATGCCTGAAGCCAAAGAAGCCACACTTCAAGAGCACAAGTCCCTCATAGCAGGACTACAGCAGGCACAGCAGAAAGCTCAGCTGTGGGTCAGGAGCGCGTGGGATATTTTCTAAGGAAGCTTCACACAGAGGAAGATATCCCTGAAAAGCAGGAAGCAAAGTTTCAGCCCTGCTCGTTAACAGTTGAGGTTCAAAAAGCATACAATGCCGACTGCTCTAGAGACTTACTTCTGGCAAACCTCCGGGTCAGGAAACTGCAGCCTTTCCAAAGTACTTTTGACTGGCTAGAGCTGGAAGAGCCCTCCCTGCTCCTACCCACTGTACACAACTCGTTTGAGCTGTTCCCAAGCTCTGTGTCCATAGCAGAGACAGAAGGTGTGTTCCCAGCAGTGACGGGCCAAAACACTGAGGTGGCTGGAGTCGGATTCTGTGGCAGTTCTACACCAGCAGAACTACCCCTTCTTATGGAGGAGCTCTCAGTTTACACTAGCACAAGTGAGAAGGGAGAATCGGGAGGGCACATCAAATGTTTAGGAGGAAGTAGAGGTTATAGGCCACGTTCAGCCTCACTGAGGAACAAATGTATACAAGCTCTAGTGAGAAGGATGCGGATGGCAAGGGAGGAAAAGCTTCACACACAAGCGCATAGGGAATGCATACGGGTGAAATATGGGCTCTTGCAAATAAAACAGAAACCGCAGAGCTCCCCAAAGCAGCCCTTGCTAGAAATCAGATATTATCTTTTTGATACTCACCCTCATTAGACAGCAAGCAATAAAACCTATTAGTGAAAAATTCATCTCCCCTGCCCCTTGCCCTGGCCCTCCCCCACCACATGCCCTCCTGCTCTGATCCTCTCTCTCTTCTAGGATGGCTGCGATTTGTTCTGAGAAGCGACAGGTTTATACGTTAGCCGACACCTTCTCTCTGTGGAATTTTAATTAACTTCTCCCATCGTCAATATGTTAAGGAGCAGGGTTCCCATTATACAAGGTCAGCAGCGTGTTTCAGGCCCTGCTATATCAGCCGTCAAATTGAAGAATTAATGACGTGGCTAATTGGCTCTAATTCTCCACACCCCCCCTTCCCCAAAATATGGAGGGGTAAGGGGGGGTGGGGGCGGTAGGCCAGGCTAGCGGGGGAGGCTGGTACAGTCCACAGTCTCATAAAAAAAAATGAGCCCACAATTTAAACCCACTTGTTCACGGGTAGCTGTTCTACCACCTCCCATTTATCACTCTGCAGGGAAGAAAGGGGGGGATGGGGAGACAGTGGGTAAATATTGTGACAGAGAGTGTGCACAAGCGTGCGCACCAGGGAGAGGAACACTGTCCTGACAAGAGGCCACCTCCGCAGGTCATCACTTAGGAGTAGGAAGCAGCATGCCACTGGGCTCTAACCAGCCATGGCACTACAGCCGGAGCCTGTCTGCTAGAGAAGGGGCCCTTGCAGATCAGAAGACAGCAAAGGGCTTCTAACATCTTACAGCAGCATTAATGCACACAGCACTTCTTCAAACACACTAGCTGCCTCAAACACTCGGAGCAACGGCGTGAGGGAAGAGCAAAATCATAGCAGGCCTCGAGGGTCATTTCCCTGATAATGCCATTAGCTCTGTACCACTAAGTTTCTGATGTCTGAAAAACAAGCTTGGATATCCAGTGAGGAGAGCAGTTGTGGGGAGTATTTTGGTTTTGCACAAGCTTAAAATTCACTAGTTGCGGATATCACATGGACAGCAGCGACAGCTCTTCTTCCCCCACTCCCTTGAAGAAGCTGAGGAAGAATCTCTCGCATGCAGAAGACCAGCTTAACAGTGCAAGAGACAGATCGTTGCTGGCTGGTGGAAGATTAACAGTAAGCATTCAAGTTCCTCAGATTTTCACTTCCTCTAGAACAGGAGACTTTGAAAGACACTCTGGAAGACACTTGTGTAGGGTACTGTCCTTGCCTCCCATGTTGAAGCTGTAGTTGTAGCATTACACCTGCACTACAAGCACAGGGCTACAGGGAGAAGAGGCTGGAAAGCCTCATCCCTGAACTCCACTTCCATCTTTTCCAGTCCAGCATGTTGAATTTACCAAGAAAACAGAACTCCAACCACCACACACAGCTCCAAGCTAGCTCCCCAAGCAAAAAAGCAGAGACCTTTTTGCTTGGCATCTCTTCCGCCAGAGAAGGAGAAAACAAATCGGCATCTTTTTACTACAGAAAACCTCAAGAGGATCCAGCTCATTGCTCCTAATTAGCAAGCCAGAATATGTCTTTGCTCTGCAAAGTAAGAATGAACAGGTCCCACTTGAGACAGTAACAGGAACGCAGAGCCATCCTCACAACCACTCCGCTGTTCCAGGAACAAAGACCGCACTCCCTTCCCTGAGCTCCTGCTGCAGGAACAAGCACCTGATCAGCCTCCACCCACATCAAGTCCCTGAAGCGTCACACTGGTGCCTCGGGGAGATTTGTGGACACAGAGCCTGTTCAACTCTTCTCTTGGTTGGAAATAGGGAATAAAGAGATCTCGGTTACCTTAGTAATGGGCTGATAGCAATGGACCACACTCGATCCTCTGTCTGCACTGTATGTAGACACTGCCCGACTCTGCCCGCGGACAGGGACCAAACCTAAGGAGAGAGATGCACGTTATGCCACATCATAGAATCATAGA